TTGTATTCTGTGCCAAACTCACAATCTCTGACACACTCAAAGCCATTGTTGTAGTCACTGTATCATTTCACCTGGTTGAGGGATTTCTTCTTCTCCTTCACTGTCCTTCTTCAAACAATAACTTCACATAGCAATACACCCAATGTATATGAGATGAAGCTTTGCATTCTTGCCTCCAAGGAGCACTCTCGCTGTATCGTCACCAAAACAAATTTTGTTCTTTTGTTAGTCGATGGGTATTCAGTACTCTTCTACAATACCACAGTTCAAAGGCATCAATTCTTTTTTTGTCATCTCTTTTCATTGCCCAGTTTTCAGCAACATAGCAAGTGACTGAAAAGATCATGGCCTGAAACAAGCATATCTTACTCCTCAAACTAACATCACTGCTCTTAAATAATTTGGAGAGGTCTCTGACTGCAGATTTTTCCAGCGCAATATATCTCCTGACCTCCTGACTGTTGTTGTTGTTGTTGTTATGTGCCATCGAGTCGCTTGTGATTCATAGCAATCCTATGTACAATAGCCCTAAACTCTGCTCTGTCCTGTGCCAATCGCACTGTTTCTGACACTCCCATCCAGATTACCCAAGTCACTGAATCAATCCACCTCATTGAGGGCCTTCCCCTCCGGCTCTGTCCCTTTACCCTACCAAGCATGATGTCCTTCTCCAAGGACCGGTCCCTCCTTACAACATGTCCAAAGTATGTTAGACAGAGCCTCAGAATTCTTGCCTCCAGTGAGCCACCCGGTTTAACCCTTTCCAGGATGAATCTGTTGGTTTTCCTAGCAGTCCATGGTACTCTCAATACTCTTATCCTGTACCACAGCTCAAAGGCATTAATTCTCCTTCTATCCTCCTTGGTCATTATCCAACTCTCTGATGCATAACAAGTGATTGCAAAGACCATGGCCTGTATCAGATGCACTTTAGTCTCCAGATAGACATCGTTGCTCTTCAGTACTTTGGAGAGGTCCCTAACAGCAGACTTTCCCACCGCAATACGTTTTTTTAATTTCCTGGCTACTGATGCCAAGAGTGCTGACTGTGGAGCCAAGCAAATTAAAGCTGTGAACAATCTCGATCTCTTCACCATCCATCCTGTTCCTGCCAATTGGTCCAGTGGTGAGAATCTTTGTCCTCTTGACATTGAGCCTCAATCCATATTGGAGGCTGCAGCCCTAGACCCTCTGCAGCAAGCGCTTCAGTTCCTC